CAAAAGGCAGAAGAGCTTACATTTTGTTGACAATAAAAATTGGGGTGCAAAAAGGCTAGCAACTTACTCAAGCTATATCTTGATTTCATCCTGTCTAACTGCAGCTCCCAAAGGAGTTCTGTAGCAATTCCAAGAATGAATACCTAGATGGATACGTGAACTGATGAAATGATGAGTGATGCCATCTTTTCCATAACAACTATGGTTTTCTGAGTCTCAGGGTCAGTGAACTATCAGTCTCTTGGTGGTCCCATAGTGCCAAAATAATTGTTTATCAGAAAATCCATGCCCAGCTTCGGTTCTCCAAAGCTATTTGGGCATTTTGTCAGAATTCTGCTATTCTAAATACTCTATATTTGTTCCCAGTAATGTAAACTATGCCTTCTAGCTTTGCTTTATGACAGTTTCATTCAATATGCACATGAAATCTAAATTTCTACGCACTGATCACTCCTTCCCAACTACTGTGAGATGCAATAATATTTTTCCAACAATATTTGTCACAGAAAACCCTTCCAAATGTGAAGGAAAATCACTTTTAAATATTATGTTTCTTAGAAGCTCTATATCCAGTGCTGGGCAGAGACAAAGTTTACAGTTGTTGCACTGATCCATAAGCATGGATGCTTGCATATACATTAAGTATCAAGACCTGAAGAATGAGGCAAGTATTAAGAGAAAATAAAGTTCATCATAGAACAAGACTTGTGGGTTCAATGAATGAGGCAGCTTACTAGCCCTTAGTTTGAATTCCCAGATGACTCTGACTTTCAGTGCTTAGGAAATTACTCAATTTCTTTTAGATTTTGTTTCTTCACTTAACAAGAAAGGTTAATAATGCCAACATAGAACACCATGTTAGTTTCACTACCATGGAAAGTATTTGAGGAAGTCAACTTAAAAGCAGAACAAGTTATTTTGGTCACAGTTTGGGAGGGGTCATCCATGGTTGCTTGGCTCCATTATTAGGGGTGTGTGTTGAGGCAGAATAGCATGAAAACAAGCCTGTATTGGAACAAAAGCTGCTCATCTTATGGTTGCTAGGAAAGAGGGAGACATAGTAGCAAGGACATGCCAAGACAAGATCTACCCAAGCCAAGCACACCCCAACCAACTTACTCATTCCAACAGTCATCACCCCCTAGTTTTCATCACTTCCCATTAACACCATCAAGGTATGAATCCATCAATGGATCCATCCACTGATAAGATTCAATCCTCATGATACAGTTGCTCTTAATAGTTGATCAGTTGTCAACCAAGCCTTCACTTTTTAAGCCTTGGGAATACATCATATCCAAACCAGAGCAATCACTGTTGTAAAGAAAAGACTGAATGAAATAATACATGTATGTAAAGTGACGACTTCCTAACAGGTATCTATAGTACTGTCAATGGCTATAACACCATCTTAGGTTTACACACACTTCAGTAACAGGGGAATCATAGAGGTAAACACACAGTGGCACAATCTCACTCATATGTAGAATACAAGAGTTGATCTTAGGGGGTGCTGATGTTAGCATGATCAGTAAAATGAACTCCAACCCCAGAATCCATGAAAAAAAATAAACAAACAAAAAACAGGCATGGTGATATATACTTGTAATCTCAGTACTGGGGAATGGCAAGAAGGAAGATCCCTGGGGTTCACCAGAGAGCCAGCCTTAACTATTTGACTAGTCCCAGTCTAGTGAGAGACAATGTCTCAGAAATAAGGTACATGACTCCTGAAGAATAGCACCCAAGGTTGATCTCTGGCTTGTAAATGTTATGTGCATTCATGCACACACACATACACCTGCACACACACACACACACACACACACACACACACTGATCCTATACACGTTGAACTAAGAATGGTAATATCGGAGCTTAGCAAGTATGAGAGAAAGGTATATTAAGAAAGCTTGACTAAGTGAGACGGGAAAAGGAGTTCCCATCATTCATGCACAACAAGAAGACCATGAGATTGTAGAAAGCTAGAAGAAAGTATTTGGAGGACTGGTGAGATTGCTCAGTGGGTGGTGGAACTTGTAGCCAAGCTCAGTGAGCTGATTAAAATCCACAGAACCACACAAAGGGAAAACTGACTACCATGGTTGTCTTCTAACTACCACAAAGTGCAATGTGGCACACACAACCACCACCACCACTACACACACATTAAATAAATATGTTTTAAAAAATGTGAATGTTTTCCTCATAAAGAATGATAAATATTTGAGAAGATAAATACATTTACCCTGATTTGAACAAGATGCTGTTGGGTACTCCATACATAGTTTCATATATCACTTTAAAAAATAAATATAAATAAGCAAAGAAAATAAAACTGATTAAGTTGGGCAAAGACACACATTGGTTGCATCATCAGAATTAGGCCTCCGTGCTCTTCCATGCCATCCTATTTTGCCTGAGTCCTTTCATAAAGTAGAGGGTCAAAGCTTAGGCAATGAAGCAATACTTTATTAGCCAGCCAATGCATGAATAAGCTCATATATCTTGTGACATCACCAATGTCTCAGATGTATTTTGACATTTCTCAAAGTATTTAGCCACAGGGAAATAATCAGACACAAAGCAACACACAGGTCACATACACATGGATTCAAAGATAAGTTCCCTGCCCTCATGGTCCCACTGTCTAAGGAAGGAACTTCACATGTGATTTAGACTCAGGGCAGATCATGGTTCAGGTTATGACATTCACTACAGTAAATATAAGGTCCCTACCACACTCCATGTGTAAATGTAATTATACTTTTACTTTAAAATACTTCACAATTGCTTCTCCAATTCTATCTGGTCTAGAAGGTCTCAGATTCTATGTTAATTTGTGCAATACACTCCTAACACACATTTTATAGTGTTGGAGGTTTTGTTTCACAAAAGACAGAAAAAGAAGGCAAAGATATCCAAATAATTGAATTATTATAAAAGACTGCCATACTACCCCTGAAATCAGATTAAGGACTACTGTTTAATTGTCAAACTTTCATCCAGTAACTGATGGAAGCAGCTAACTGCTAGGCCAAGCTCCCAGAGTCCAGTAGAAGAAGGGGAGGAGCAATAAAATGAGCAAAGGGGTCAAGACCAGGATGGGGAAGCCCACAGAAACAACTGACCTGAGCTAGTGGGAGTTCACCAACTCTGGACTGACAGTGGTAGAACCTGAATAGGACCAAACTAGACTCCCTGAATGCAGATGACAGAGAATAGATTGGGTAGTATATGAAGCCATGGGCAATAGGCCCAGGATCTATCCCTATACATGAACTGGCTTTTTGGAGCCCATTCTCTATGGAGAAATACCTTGCTCAGCTTAGATGTGGGGTGGGGGGGGAAGGGTTTGGTCAGGCTTCAGCCAGGTAATAGGACAGACTTTTTTGACTCCCCATAGGAGGGCATACTTACTCTGAGGAGTGGATGTGGGGGTGGAGTGAAGGGAGGGGAGAGGGAAAGGGGTGAGAGGAGAGGAGAACTGGGATTGGTTTAAAAATGATATAATGTGTATTTACTTTTTAATAAAAACTGAAGAGAACCATTATGAGATCATATTTATTCAGAGAGAATGGAGGTTGTTTTCCAATTTATTTAAGAAGGAAGTCATACTGTCAAGACAAATTCAAAAGACTGGACACTCCGAGAGTGCCAAGTCTCCATGATATTTGAAATAAATGAATAGGTCAACCCAGATATCCGAATGCCATACAGTTCTGAAATGCTGTATTCACCAGAATTCTAAGCACAGCACCCCAGAGCTAGGGAGAATAAAATAAGCCATATTTTCCCTCCCTCCCCTCACAAACTACAAACCCAGACCCCATCCATGAGTATCACCGCCTTTCCCTCATTCTTTCCAGCTCAAGAGGCTTCCTGAAAAGGAGCCCTAACTTCAACTTCTAAGGCATCTCATCTCCTTCACCTCCAAGGAAGGAATCCTACAGAGAGCTTTCAACCATTTCCCTCTCCTCAAGCTTCCAGACTCCTCAAGCCTATTCTTTCTGCTCCCACCACCTCAGATGACCCTTGGCCTGTCACTGTCCCAGTCCACTCTGGCAAGCCCACCCCACCTCTGTTGATGCTGGTTGGCTTCCCAGTTCTCCACCTCCATATTCTTGTGGACCTTTTTTCCACTGATGTTCAGAAAATATAAAGGGCTAAGCACAGTGTCTGGCTTGTGGTCTTTTAAAACAACTAGTTGTAGTGAGATATCCACCTGCCCCGCACCTGTTGCACTGACCACGCCCATTGGGGGTGGGGACAGGGGTGGATGTGATGTGGAGGAACTAGGTCTTGGTCGGGAACCGGAACTCTCTCTTACTTCCTGGACAGAAAGCATCCTCTGGAAGCATCCTTGGGACTGGAACCTGCTGGCATTCATCTGTCTCTGCTGTAAGTTATTTCTCCCAGAATAAACATCTATTCAGCTATCTGTTTTCCCCATCCTTATTTTTCCATGATAACCAGTCTGGTGACTAGTGTTACTCTGGCCTTTATTAATTCTCCCCCATAAACCCACTCTAGGACTCTCTCAATGACCTACAGATATCTTCTTCACCCACATATCTGCAGGCTGTTTCCCTTATTCCTTAACCTGGAATTGGTTAATCCATGCATGCTTATTTACACTTCTTCCCATCTTTAACTTATAGGGCATCCTGTTATCCCAGCTCTTTCCCAGAAGGCTCAGACCAGAGTTAATCAGCATGTATTAGTGGACTGGAATTTGCAAAGTCTAAAATCCTTTTGCCTGCTACTACCTCTGGCCACCATATCTGAAAACATATGACATATAACACAACCTATTCCCGTATCATGGCAACCTCTTCTCTGATACTGGCACATCCCCCACTTGCTGACTTCTTTGAACTATCACACATGTGACCTCTCCAGAGTAGATTTCCCTGACCACCAAAGACAAAACGGCAACATCCTACCACATCATCCATTGCCAAAGACTGCTGTATGTTAGACATACACTCCCAGCTCACCTGGATCAATGTCTCCAGCTCCTGGGGGCTCACACAGATATGATCTCTCAAGAATTCTGCCTTTTCCAAGGCGATGGTGTTCTTCTGACTGCTCTCAAAGGGCTGCTCCAATGCCCGAAAGACAAGGCCACCTGTGACGAGGTAGACCACCACAACCACAAAGATGGCAACCACTGTTTTCCACTTCATAACTGTTTGCAGGCCTCCCTGGGAGGCGCCTTCCATCCTGGCTACCACCGTGGCTCTGGAGGAAATGGAGAGGCGGGGAACCGGATGGTGCCCGTTACTGGCACTCTTGGGCTGGCACACGGGTGGAGTTGCTGCAGGCACGGCCACTGAGGAAGCAGGTAGAGAAGAGGAGAGAATTTGTTTATAAATACAAAACACTGAAGTCATCAGAAACAAAGAACAGATGTCTTCCTTCAACTGCCTTTCCAAATGTAGGGATGAAAAACTGGTTTACTGAGCCTGCAGTTGGGGAATTTGATCAGTTGTTGAGTACCTGCCTTTTGTTGTTCTTTTTTTTTTTTTTTTTTTTTTATGATTTCTTAAAAGTGAGCATCCATCAGGAAACCTAATTCTAAAGGGGAGGCTACCAGTGAGTTTAAAAACACTTATATTTTCCTCAAGGATCCAAACTGGAAAGCTATCTTATATTTATTTATACCTCTTCTCCTCCCTCGGCTACTATGTTCAAATGTGTACGAATCATCATATTTAAAAAACAAACCTATTACTCAGACTGAAGAAAAGCAAGTAGAAGAGGGGCATATAGCTATTCTGTCTAAGCACAGAAGCAGAGAAGAGATGGACGTCCAGTGACTTTAAAAGCCCATCTCTGAGACTGGGAGATGGCGCAGGCAAGCATGAGGACTTGAGTTTGGATCCCCAACACCCACATAAAAAGCCAGGTGCAGCAGCCCACACCTGGGACTAGCTCTGGGGGAGTAGAAACAAGCAGATGTCTGGTTTGCTAGTCAACCATTCTATCCAATCTTTGAGTTTCTGATTCAATGAGAGATTCAGTCTCAAAAATAATAATAATAATAATAATAATAAGGTAAGGAATGGTAGGAAACACCTGACACTGACCTCTGACCTCCATTTCCATAGGCACACATATTCACATACGAAGAAATCCATGTACAAATACATACTTACAACCCTCCCTCCAAAACTGAAGAAACAGAGAGAGAGAGAGAGAGAGAGAGAGAGAGAGAGAGAGAGAGAGAGAAAGGAGAGTGAATAATTAAGAGCCTGTCTTTTCACAAAATGAAGCAAAGAAGCTAATCCCAAGCTAAGGAAGAAGGGTCAAAGGTCAGGCACAGTAGAGAGGTCTGGGACTTGCCTAGATAGGTGGCTATAATTGGGGAAGGAAGAAAGAGTGATGGTTTATGTCAATTAGCCCTCTTGCCTGAAAAAATAATAAGAATAAAATAGATCCCAAGTGCATTGCCTAATAGAAAATGCAATGACTTTGGTGTAACCACTGCTGAGCTATTAGCAACGGAATTTTTTTTTCCCTCCAGTTATCATCCAGTAAGAAGCCACTGGAAATGAAATTTCCCCTGGTGCTCAGAACACAGAATTTGTTAAGGTCCCCAGTTCTCTATTACCTTAGCAATAAATACATTAAGCTGGCAGTTTTTCTGCCAGAGCAGGAGGTTGGAGATAGTGCCACGCACTACAGAGCTCTGTCTTGTGCAACAATGAGCAGTCGAGGCACTGAGATGTGTTCTTGCTTTTAGTATCCTGGTTCTCATTAAGCCTCTGCTAGGGCAGCACTCACACACACCCGCTGTTGTGTAAATAAGGTATTAGCATATACGTGTGCAGATAATACTGCTCCAGTGGGGCTAGACGGCTCCATCTCTACACTGGGGGTGTCAAGGTGATTCTGTCATGTGACTCTTCCTGGAAAACAGGCCTGAACCTGACCCACCTGGCTGGAAGGGTGGTTGTTTAGAAAAATCTTTGCCTATAAACATCTGCTCTCCGAGGCCCTGGAAATCACTTTTTCTCTTTGAAACCAGGCCAACTGCCCACCTTTTACTAGATATTACTCTATTCGACAGTTATTCAATATTAAATTCTTCTTGAGCTTAACGTGAGCACAAACTTCTCCATAGTCTCCAGACTATCTATACATTCAAATCATCCAGTTAGGAATCATGGCCTTTAACCTTCCTTGAAAGACACTGAACTCAGGTTCCCACTTGCCCTTGTTGACGACAAGGAGACAGCTTTGTGTCTAGGACAGTTTCCTTCAGCACTGAACTTCTCATCCATTCTGCCTCTCCATCCATGGCTATAGTCTCATTAAGGCCATCAGCATGTCTTGTCTAGTAGCCTCCTAAGTCATTTCCCCATTTCCACTTGACCACTTAATCTTGAGTTAACCCTTACTCTTTGAAGTACTTCTTTCCATCCACCTCATCAGAAAAAAAAAAAAAAAAAAAAAAAAAAAAGCCTCCAAAGACACCTACATCTTAACCCCGGCAGCTGTAAAAACATTACCTTACATAGCATGGTTATGATTAAAGGTCCTGAAGTGAGGAGATTGTCCTAGATTGTGGGTGCCATCACAAGACCAAATGGCAGTAATACAGGTAGAGAATAAAGGCAAAAGCAGAGACTGGAATCACACAGCTGTGAGCCGAGCTATGGTCACACTAGAAAATGGTCCTCCCCTACAACCTCCCAAAAGAAACCAGCTAATTATAAATTGCTGTTTGAGGCCACTATGTTTGTGATCATTCATTTGCAGTCCCAAGAAATAAACATACTTTTTCTAGATTAGTCTCCCTGGCCTATCACCCACTGCTTCAGGCTAACATAACATGCTTACCTCCCGGATCCCTCATTAGACTAAAAGATCTACAGAGTCAGGCATCATCTCAGCCCCCTTGCTTCTCTGTCCCCAGGGACCAGCACGGCGCCTGGCACACAATAGGCAGCCAACCAATGATGACTGGATATGGAATGGAGGAGAATTGGCACGGTGCAATCACACACACAATTCGGACAAGCACTACCAGACTAAAAATAATGGCAACGCACCAGTATGGAAAAGCAGGTCAGACACAGTAGCAGCCTGTTCTAAGCACCACACAGCAGCCCAGAATCTGTAAACTCATAACCACATGGTTCTCAGCCCTAAGCCGCCTCCTTTGTGAAATCTTTCTGGACTCCTCCGTGCGGACTCACCAGCCTGTGTCTACAATTTATCTCTCCATGAGCCTGTATATTTTTGGAGCCAGAGAGCATCACTCTTTCTTCTTTAGATAGCTGTGGTCTCTATATGTAGCCCAGGCTAGACTTACTCCGAAATCCTCCCATCTTTGCCTCTCAAATGCTAGATGAGAGGTGTGTGCCATGACCCAGCAGAAAGAAAATCTTCAGTTCTTGGTAGAGCACCGAAGAAAGGGTGCTTGTTTCCCCTTGTTGCTATCAGTCATTGTTGGCAATGAATATTTTAAACTATGCATAATCACAACCTCAGAATTACCACAACAAGCATTAACATTAATTACCTCAACAATAAGCATTTGCTTAATACTGAATGGACCTAAGAGGCTAGGCAAGAAGCCTCCTGCCTCCTTAGATAGCTGGTTCAGTTCCCTACTTCCAGAGCTCAGCAAAATGCTAAGCAACAATGTATGGTCCTGCCTCTCCCAGGCTGAACCTTGAGATATCAGACCATACTTGGATCTTTTAATTTGCTTTGTGTCCTTGGCTTCTTCCCATTTATGATAGATATAATCCAGATTCTAAGTCCTAAAATTTCAAATAAGGATGACTAAGGGAGGCCAGTCCTTGGCCATCATGACCACTTCCCACCAAGGGCAACTGAATCGTCTGATTGGCCCAAACTTATACACACACACACACACACATTCCATCTCTTCTTAGTGCCCCTACCTGGAGAAAGGGACCCATGTCCTTTCACTGATATTCCTGTAAAGCTCTGAAGCAGCCAATAGTAGTCATTGTACCATACGCCAAAGAACTGGGTTCCAAAGTCTTGAGGAGGGGGTTATGTTATGATTTAAACAAATGGGTAAATTAAATATGAGAACATTAAACTTAAGGATAAATAAATAATCTTGCAGCTGGACATGAGGTAGACAAGTTAACCAGACAAGACAAAAAGACAGGATTATGAGAAAAATAAAAGCTAACAGCTAACTAGTTGTTGTTTGCATTTGACCTTAAATGTATTAACTCTCTCTACTTTGTATATTACAAAATAAAGCAATTGGGCCTTTAAACTGTTTATGTGGTGTTATATAATATACAGTATAAAGGTAAATTGTCATGAGCTATTTAAAGCCTGGTAAAAACATCAAAAACCTGTGGCTACACAGGTCACAGGCCCTAAGGCAGAACCTCCACTGTTATTCTACTAAATAGACATTATATTCAACTGACTCTTAAAGACTAATTGGTATAGAACAGTGCATCTCTCAACCCTATCAGAGAAGCTCCTTTTGTGGTAGATGCCATTGACATAGGGACCTACAGCTAGTCAAGGTGAGAGAATAAAAGTACAGAATGCTCAGCCCTAAATCAGAGACTACACCACATCCGCTCTTCCCAAGGCTCAGGGATCATTGTGGGAGAAGAATCACATAAGAATGTATAGGCAGCACAAACAGAATTTGATACAAATCATTTGGGGAAAAAAAGCCATAGGAATTGTGTGGGCAGAGAAGAGGTGTAGATCTTGTAGGAATTGGGAGTGAATATGATCAAATTTCAATATATATGAAATTCTCATGAAACCAATAAAAAGAAGAAGAGAGCAACTCTGGGAGCAAGGAAGCTACAAAAACTCCCTGTCCCAGTGAAGGCTGCTGTCTTACCTCTATACCAAAGAGGAAGGAAAACTGCAACCATCTAAGGGCATTATCAATACTCTGTCGGTGAGGGCAGCACAAAGGTGAACTATGAGGTTGCTGTTGTTCATCCTGTAGGATGAACTTCCCAGAAGTGGGAACAGGAAGCCAGAAGCTCATTCATAGAGAGAATACAGAGGAAGCTCTACCCAGAGCTCTGCCCTTCAGAACTCTCTGCCTGCCTCAGCTTCTCCAGCAGTCTCTTGGTCTCTGCTGGTTTCAGGTGCCTTGGTGATGTCTATCTGCTACTATTTGTTCCTTAACTCAGAAGCCTCACAGGGCACACACTGTTCTACAGAAAACTCAATGGGAAACCCCAGCTGGTTGCCTTATAGGAGCTTCCCTGGTCAATTTCTACTGAATGTTTGTAGCCCCGCCCCAATTTGATGATGTTACTTTTGGTTTGCTTTCTGAATCAGGCTATTCCAGTCATCTCT